TTAATATTTTACACAATTCTTTAGGTTCACTGAAACATATTTCAATGTGCTTATATTCACCATTTACTTGCTTGTTTTTTAGTTGATAAATACAAGGAATTTTATATCGTGTGTTAAAAATCATAATGTAGGAAGAAATATCAAAAAAAATTTAAACAACTGCTGATTTGTGTAGCTGAAATTTTGCTTTGTTTCTGATTTAAAGATAAAACAAAGCTTCTTTCTTGCCCAGAATCATTTACTCCTTGTCTTGCTTACTACATCAGCTAAAAAAAAAGTCATATAAGGGTCAAAATGAGTATGCTGTTTTTCCTCAACTTTAAAAGAAATATGGTTAACTCTCATCATGAAATGTTAAGTTCCTAGAGTCATTGTACTAATTATCCTTGATCATGCTTTTTAAAGTTCCTTTCATAATACCTTTAGTTGAATTTTTTAATTAACACAAAATTATTCATAGGTGTTTTCCAATTGAAAATTTATCTCTGTTAAAAATAAGAGTGGGAATAAGAGAGGGAGGAGATATACAGGTTTTTACATGTTCCCTTGGACTTACCTCTGAGGGTAAAGCTAAAAACTTGCCATGGGACTCCAAATCCCATTAAGTGGCAGATACCAATGCCATCTTACTAGTTAAAATGATCAGTTTAAGTTCATAAAGATAGGATTAAGTGTCAAAGGGATCACATAAATAAGACCAGTGTCTGCTAATAATAATAGATAGAACTAAGAAGGAGAGAATGATCAAACATGGGAAGCAGGAAACATAGCAGACTCATAGAATGGCAGATGTCCTAAACAGCACTGTGGCCTCAGAATCAGCCCTTAAGGCATTCAGATCTGGCTAAAAAGCCCATAAGAGCATTTCAGGCATGGAAAGCCAAGACACTGTGGCAAAAAATGACCTAAATGAAAGATCTCTGTGAGTAAGATCCTGGTGGAAAGAAGGGGCCGTCAAAGAAGGAAGTACCTTTCTCTGAAGGGAAGAGAGAACATCCATCAACTTTGATTATGGCCCTGTCTAAATAGTGTCAGAGTTTGTGAATTCAAAAGACTTCCATAGCCTTGGCAGCTCATGACAAGAGCCTCGGGTGATCACTGATGTCATAAATAAGAGTGTCAATTTTTAAATCAACAACAAGAGTCCCTGTGCACTTGCTCCCCATGTAGGAACTCTGTCCTTAATGTGTTGCACTGTGAGAATTAATAGTAAAACCTGTCTTCAAACAGTACTTTATACTTTGTGTGCCTGTGTGAGTGCAAACTATTGAAATCTTTACTTAGCATAGAGTTGATCTTCTGTATATAAAGATGATTTAAAATGAATCTTAATGAAGAACGGAATGGGAGATGGAATAGGAGGTGGGACAGTTTAGGGGTGGGAGGGCAGGTATAGGGGGAAGAATCACTTTAATCCAAAAGCTGTACTTATTTATTTACTTTTTGACAGGCAGAGTGGACAGTGAGAGAGACAGACAGAGAGAAAGGTCTTCCTTTACCGCTGGTTCACCCTCCAATGGCCACTGCGGCTGGTGCACCGTGCTGATCCGAAGCCAGGAGCCAGGTGCTTCTCGTCTCCCAGGGGGTGCAGGGCCCAAGCACTTGGGCCATCCTCCACTGCACTCCCGGGCCACAGCAGAGAACTGGACTGGAAGAAGGGCAACCGGGACAGAATCCGGCACCCTGACTGGGACTAGAATCCGGGGTGCCGGCACTGTTAGGCGGAGAATTAGCCTATTGAGCCACGGTGCTGGCCCAAAAGCTGTACTTATAAAATTTATATTTATTAAATAAAAGCTTTCTATAAAAAATGAAGTTCCTTTCAGCTATTATCTACTATGTTATTTTTCTTATAATTATTGTTGAATTTTACTTAATCTTTTTCAAAATTTATTGGAGGATATTTATTTTCTCCAATTGGTGAATTACAGTGAAAGATTTTGAGGTGCTAAAATATCTTTATCTTATATGCAAACATAATTTCATGTTATGACATATGCTAATTTCTAATATTTGCATCTATACTCATAAATATAAAAATTGATATTTTCTCTTGTTCATTATCTTTACTTGGAATTTATGTTAAGGTTATGTAAATTGAATAAATGCAATCTTTTAATATTTAGTCTCTAAAAAACTTATAGTGAAATTTGAGACATAGCATAATAAAACTTGCATTTCAAATATAAACATAAAATCACCAAGTCTCCAGCCAAAAAAAAATCAAATATTTTATAAAACAAAAGAATTAGAGCATAGGCAGGCATTTGACACAGTAGTTAAGCTGCTGCTTGGAATGTCCACATCCCATACTGCAGTGTCTAGGTTGGAGTCCAGGCTTCAGTGTCCATCCCAGGTTCTTGCTAATGCACACACTCAGAAGCAACAGCTGACAGCTCAAGTACTTGCATTCCCACCATCCACAGGGAAGACTCAAACTGAGTTTGAGGCTCCTGGCATCAACCTGGAGTAACCTTGGCTTGTTGCAGTCATTTGAAGTGAACCAGTGGATGGAAAACATCCCTGTCTTTTCTCTGTTCCCTTTTTCTGCCTCTCAAATAAGCAAAATAGATGAATAACAAATTAAATTTTTAAAAAAATTAAACTAGGAATCAGGCATACAAAACAAATACAAAGTGACCCATATACAAAACAAAGCAATAATGGAACTACATGGATCCCAGTGAAAGAGTGTAAGCCAATGGTTTTATTTCCAGCTAACTTGCCCTTCAAAGATTAAGGCTATGTAGAAAAAATGTTAAATATAAAAGACCTTAAAGAGTTCTGCACTGGGACCAGTGCCTGGCAGAGTAGGCTAAGGCTTCGCCTAAAGTACCAGCATCCCATATGGACATCCGTTCCAGTCCCATCTGCTCCTTTTCAGATCCATCTCTCTGTTAATGGCCTGAGAAAACAGTAGAAGATGGCCCAAGTGTTTGGGTCCTACACCCATGTCGGAGACCGGGAAGAAGTGCCTGGCTCCTGGCTTCAGATGGCCCCATCTCCAGCTGTTCCAGCCATTTGGGGTGTGAACCAGCAAATGGAAGATCTTTCTCTGTTTCTCCCTATCTCTGTCTGTAACTCTACTTCTCTGATAAGTAAATAAAATCTTAAAAAAATTTCTGCATTCAACAATCCTTCTTGAACAATCTAGTAAACAATGAATACTAACCAAACCAAAGACGAGTAGCAAAACTTGAGCAAAAAGGCAGATTGTAAATTCAAAATGGTATAATTGCATACTCTAGATTAAAATAAAATGTGACATGATCCATATAGAAGTACATACAGATATGAGTATGGATGGATTCATGTCCGTGCATATAATTTTTTTGTCTTGGAATAGCCTAGGAATGATAAATTCTCAGTATCAATGAGTATAGCTGGAAATCAGATCTTAGCTTCCAGTGTCATGCCCAAATAAAAGGGCTCCCTAGAGAAGTCATTAAGACTAGGGTTGGGGGCAGAATACAACAGGAACCTGGAATATGTTGAGGTTCCAAGAAATAATAAATTAAATGGAAAAGATGGGGTACATCAATAAAAGCAACAGGGCACAAGTGGCCAAGTGAAAGAGATATAGGTGGACAAAACTAGTGCAGAGAATAAAATTGATAGTTGTAATTCAGAAGAAAACATGTACAAACATAAATAAATAAATGAATGAACAAAAAACCCACAAGACAAAATCTCAAAATTATAGCATTCATAGGCAAAATACAATAATAAGATACAAAATCAGTATGCAAAAATTATGAGAGATACATAATATACCACAGATTGAAAATGTGTTTCCCCTGAAACTTTTGTCATACCCAGTATGAAGAAATACTGGCATCATTCATCCACTAATATGGTGCCCTGAACAGTGTACAATACTGATTTTCTGATGTTACTAAAAAACACATCCTTTTGGTCTACTCAAGAAAGAAAATCATGCATACCCAAATTTAGAAATATTATACAAAATTAACGACTAGTATGTAATAAAAGGAGTTATGAGCAATTAGGAAAGAGTAAAGGAGAGTCATGGATGGGAGATGAAGGAGACTTGACGAATAAATGCAATGCAAGTTCCATACTATGTCCAGGAAGCTTAAAAAGAAAGATGCTGAGAAAATAGTGAAATTGAAATATTGTCAGTAGCCCTATAAGAGATGGGATATAAAATGGCTTGTGAAAGTCTAAATATAAAGCATGCAGAAGCAAGATCCAACAGAAAGAAAGGAGTTGAAAGAAAAGTTTCATGTAATTCAATATCTAATTAGGTTTAGGAGATAAAGGATATGAAAACCCAGGGAGATCTCGCATTTCAATATGGCCCAAGAGAAAAGCTCAATGAGAAAGGCACCTATAAACAATTCCCAAAAGTTTGAAAAAAGCTTTACAGGAAGAGCCTAAATACACTCAACAAATTGTCCTGATAATTGTTCAGTCTATTCTCCAGGGCTTCACTATCAGACACTTGAGGGTTGTGGGGAATTGAAATTCTAAAGAACTCCCTCTGGGTGAGGGAAGTGGGGGTGGGGGAGCTGTTTTGTTCCTGGCTGATGTAACAGCACCAAAACATTAACCAAGATGCTCCAAGTTGGACTGCAACTCCCTGATGACACACAGCAATGATAATGTGCCTGTGACATCTGCACATGACAGACTTAATGAGGAGGACAGAGACATCACAAAGTTGGAATATAGGCAATAAATATACACGCAAAGCAAGCAGGAATTACCATGCATGTATACATTCCGTTATTTACAAAGTGTATTTCTGGTAATAATTCTTAATGTGCCTCAGAGAAACTGTGGATCTCATTTTGAAAATTTCATCATCAAGAAACAGGCAGCAAGAAAACATGAAAACTGACCAAAACTGTGAATCACTTGAGGGGCAAGACCAAGATGGCATGGCCCAATGGATAATCTTATTTCAGGAAAAGGAAGCAGCTGTTTATTCTCTCTGCTGAAGTCAGTTTAGCTGCAAAGGGGATTAGTAATCAATAATTGGCATGGAGACAGAGTATTCCAACCAGACCATGGTCAGCTACTTTTACCTCGAAGGTCTGATGTACATTGCTGACCATCCCAGCCTCTTTTTTCTCCTCTTCCTCCTCATCTAAACCATCACAGTGATTGGGAATCTCCTTATTCTCATCACTGTGGGCTCTGACACTTACCTGCAGTCTCCCATGTACCACTTCCTGGGGCACCTCTCCTTCCTGGATGCGTGTTTGTCTACAGTGACAGTGCCCAAGGTCATGGCAGGCTTGCTGACTCTGGATGGAAAGGTGATCACCTTGAGGGCTGTGCCATGCAGCTGTACTGCTTCCACTTCCTGGCCAGCACTGAGTGCTTCCTGTATACAGTCATGGCCTATGACCGTTACCTGGCTATTTGCCAGCCCCTGCACTACCCAGTGGCCATGAACTGGCAGGTGTGTGCCAGGCTGGCTGGCATCACTTGGGCCATAGGGGCCACACACTCTGCAATTCATACCTCTCTGACCTTCCACCTGCTCTACTGTGGTCCTCACCACATTGCTTACTTCTTTTGTGATATCCCCCCGGTGTTGAAGCTGGCCTGTGCAGACACCACCACCAATGAGCTTGTCATGCTTGCCAACATTGGCATTGTGGCTGCTGGCTGCCTGATCTTCATTGTCATATCGTACGTCTTCATCATGGCAGCTGTGCTGTGCATCCACACAGCAGAGGGCTGGCAGCGGGCCTTCTCCACCTGTACTGCCCACCTCACAGTGGTGCTGCTCTACTATGTGCCCCCTGTCTGTATCTACCTGCAGCCAAGCTCCGGTGGGGCAGGAGCTGGGGCTCCTGCTGTCTTCTACACAATCATCACTGCAGTGCTCAACCCTTTCATTTACACGCTAAGGAACAAAGAGGTGAAGCAGGCCTTGGGAAGGCTGTTGTGTCAAGTCCCTGGAGATCGCCCAGCAGGTGGCCAACCCCCATAACCTGACTGTAAGTCTCTTACTTCACCAGCAAAGGCAAGAATCAACCGTATCTTTAAATGAGTAGAGAAACGAGTTCAAGTATAAGTCAGAATGACTGAGTTTCATCTCAGCCACTAAATCGTACCTCTATTTGGTCAAGTGACCTGTGTTAATGTCTCTGTTACAAACTCTTCGTCCACAAATGAAAGAACTGGACTAGGTGATGTCTAGAATATCCAAAATATAACTACTTTGCCTGAGGTATGGAAAAAGTTATTCATATGCTATTTATTTTATACTTGATTTTTTTAAAATTTATGTAATAATTTTATTAAGTATATAATATACACTAAAGATTGCAGAAAATAAAAATGCCAGATATACACAATAAAATAAGTCTTCAACCTGTTAAAGAGAAGAAACCACATCTTTTACAAAACTATGATAGATTTACAAGGGGGAAAAGTAACTGACTTAAGGTTACTTAGAAAGTCTCATTATCTTTATTTTCACCCTCAAAGTCATACATAACTAAGACTGTTCTGAGTGGTAGACATACATGGATTTCAAATCAGTTGGCCCTAGGACTGGTCCAACCTTGACTCCACAAAATACAATTTTGTGCAAACATTATCTTACTTGGTTTTCAACAAGATTAAAAATAGCTAAATTTTAGAATTTTCTGAGGGCTAAGGCGGAAAGTTATGTTAAATATCTAATATTAAATAGGTGTTCCAGTTTCTTACCAATCAAGCTATAGAAATCTAAGAGATCTTATTATATAAGCCAAGATTCAAGCTGTCTCTGAATCAATAGCAAAGTTTTGGTCTCTTGATTAAGCAAGTATTTAAATAGAGTGATTATAAAAAATAAAAAGCAATTTCCACACTACAAGATGATAACAGATACATCAAATTTCTATTAAATAAGTTAGCCAAGTAAGTGGGAGGAATTGTACTATGTTCAGAAAAATGAATGAATGGCCCTAAACTAATCTATAACCATAAAAGAATCTAGAAAGTCTTACTAAAGAATTTAGATTATGAGTAAATTTCATTTCTACTTCTTTATTTCTCCTCTTTTTCATCATATATAGGAATTCTCTCATCCTCATAATTCATTTTAAATACTAAATCATAGGATAAATCAGAGAAGAAGAAGGGAAGAGACAGTTGGTAAAATGACCAGTTGATTACATAGAAGATAATAAATAACACCCTAAATGTAGGAGAAGAAAACATTGCCAATTTGGGTGATTACACTAGAGATATGAGATTTTTTTGGAGAATTAGGTTGGACAGAGCTGTTTTAAGTGTGAACAAGTCAAAGACTGTTAGAATGAGAGGAGTAAAGCTAGTCATTTTTGATGTACTCATATGTAAAACATTGTGCTAGGTGTTTTATCTATATAGATCCTCATGCAAACTATATTTAAAGAGAATGCTTTTATTTTTATTTATGTTACACAAGTGGGATAACCAACACCAAGGGAAATTTGAGTAAAGTAAGTTTTACAAAGCTGAGCAGAGAACAATGGAAGCCAGGATTTCTACTCAAATCTGTATGGTTTCAAAGGCTATACATTTCAGTTGTACAATCATACCTTAGAGATAATCGAACTCTATGCTCACAGTTTACCCAGTTATATCAGAGGTATCAAAATCATTTAAGGTCCACAAAGAAGGGAAATGTTCTTTAAGGTAAGATGTAGTTGATCCTTGAATGGTGTCTTGTCCTCTTTAAATGAAGACTTTAAACATAGCATTGCTGGAAATGAAAAACACAGAGAAAAAAATGACAACACAATGAAGATGCAGCATTCATCCATAATTCAGTTCTAGTGCTTCCACGGTATCAATATAACTGCAGGAAGGCCAGAACTGACTCGGGCAACTCATCATTCCTATCAGAGTAGGCTTAAAACACAGGTGAAAATACAGAGAGTCAAATATACAATGAGAGATGACACTAAAACCAGCTACAGTCCTGTCCTGCACCATTCCTCAATCTTGTCAAGTGCCTGCCTTTCAGATATTAGTGGATACATTATGGAAGATTTGACTATGCAATTCCAGTCTTATACTCTTCTCAACTTTAGCCATAACATTACTATATCTGTCTATCCAGTAATAACTCTTTACTCTCTTGATTTTTGCTTCTCCACATCTGTAGTATGGATTCTCCAGCACAATGACCTATTATACACTTCCACAATGGCACTAACTGATACCCTGACTGATACTGTTATTAAAAGTTTTATCTGTATAACTGGAATATAAGAGTTTAAATGCAAAGACCCTTTATATCTATAAAGTATTGCAAGCAAAATAACTCAGTAAAAAGAATGTACTACTTCAGTCTATAAAGTCTGTGAATAATGTGAAACTCTGTAAGATGTATAGTTGTGCCATCTCTTGATTGGAAGCAATGGAATTTTAAAAAATAGCATTAAAATATCCTGTAGTGTATAGTTTATGTTTTATGGTAACTTTACACTTATCTCCCATTTTAATTATTATTAAAATTCTGGCATGTAAAATACAGTGACTATCTGAAAACACTGAAGTCAAGAGATCACAGACTGCAGAGGACCTATGATGAACAACGATTTTCCCAGGAATGTTGCAGAAATACTTGAGCTTTGGATCTAGTGTCCCACTTGGGACCCTTCAGAACCTCGCCGTAAGCATTGCCTCCATCTGCTGTTCCTGAGTTTTGTCCCAGTATAACAAACATGCATTAACAGATAAAGGGCCTTCCTGAGTTCCATGAGCCACTCTGGCAAATGATGGTACATGAGGAGGAAATGTTGGAAACTGATTCACAGTCATTCAGTCAGTTAACCACCTGGACTGCACTTGTGTCTGAGGTTGGGTCAGTCTTGCAGAATTGACCCTTCAATATTTGAGATCTCCAGGTACACAGGTCAGAATGGACTTAAACTGTAAGATACCCAGCTGATGTTAGGGAATTGTTTATTGGAAAAATAGCACAGACACCTCACAGAAACATACTGTGTTGAGTGTGAGTACAAGGAAAAACAGTTGGAGTGGACTATGTTAGAATGGTGAGCACTCTGGACTCTGAATCTGGAGAAAAACATTGGTTTTCCAATACACAATATTGATGATAAAATATATTCATATACTCAGGGAGACTCTCAAGAACAAGAGATTTTATTTGGAAATATCAGAAGTGTTGCAATCTGGGATGGGCATGTTATCAAATGCATAGGAACATCTGAGGAAATCTGGACAACAGCACCCTTTAACAACAGACTTCTCTGTACATGCAAACTGCGTTGAACAAAGATGATTGAGGAATGGAACTCAGTACAGGAGTTGACATGTATTCATTGATGGAGATGTTTATTGATAGGCAACTGTCCTCATGCCAGGGGCTCATTTGAAATACTGGGTGCCAGAGGAATTTCCTCTGATAAATTCTGGAGGAGGGAAACCTGCAGATATTTCAGGAATGCACCCATAACAGCCTCTTCTTTTTCACTTAAAAGTTTATTTTTTATCTTGTTTATTTAAAAGACAAGGGGAGAGAGAGAGAGAGAAAGAGAGAGAGAGAGAGAGAGAGAGACTCCCATCCACTGGTTCAGGTTCACTCTACAAGAGCTGAACCAGTTACTAGAAACTATCCTGGTCTCTCACACAGTTGGCAGAAACTCAAGTACTTGGGCCATCATCTGCTGTCTCCCAGTTGCATTAGCAGGAAGCTGAGTTGAAGGAACTCAGTCCTTTGCAATCTCATTGAGATGCATGCATCTCAAGCAGTGGCTTAAGCCACTGTGCAACAACACTTACCCAAGAGCCACTTTCCTAGGTGCACTCCCCACTCCATTTGGTTAGGATTCAAACAAATGATTCTTTTTATTTTGAGTAATTTCCACTATAATCATCAGAAAAATGCAGAAAAGAGATACAATGGGCCAGCGCCACGGCTCACTAGGCTAATCCTCCACCTTGCGGCGCCAGCACACTGGGTTCTAGTCCCGGTTGGGGTGCCGGATTCTGTCCCGGTTGCCCCTCTTCCAGTCCAGCTCTCTGCTATGGCCAGGGAGTGCAGTGGAGGATGGCCCAAGTACGTGGGCCCTGCACCCCTTGGGAGACCAGAATAAGTACCTGGCTCCTGCCATCAGATCAGCGCGGTGCGCCGGCCGCAGCACCCTGGCCAGTGGTGGTCCATCGGAGGGTGAACCAACTGGCAAAAGGAAGACCTTTCTCTCTGTCTCTCTCTCTCTCACTGTCCACTCTGCCTGGCAAAAAAAAAAAAAAAAAAAAGAGATACAATGAAATATGACTCCACTACTTAAGATGACTATGGTCAAAAACATATTGACAAGGATATGGAGAAAGAGAATCCAACTACATTATTGATACAATTATAAATTAGTACATTCATTATGAATAACAGTATGGAGTTTGCTCAAAAAATTAAAAATATAGTTACCATTTGAAAAATCAAATGGGAGCATTTCTGGGTATATACCTGAAAGAATTGAAACAGTATTGCAAAGAGATATCTGTATGCTCATGTTCATTACAGCACTATTCACAAAAAAAAAAATCATAGAAGTAACTTAAATGTCTTTTGGTGGATGCATGTATTTTTTAAAAATGTGGTACAGATTATGGCATTGTAGTACAGCAGGTTAGGCCATTCCCTGCAATACTACATTCCATTGAGTTCCAGCTGCTCTGCTTCTGATCCAGCTCCCTGTTAACATGCCTGAGAAAGCAGTAGAAAATGGCTCAAGTCTTTGGGCCCCTGTACCTACAGGGGAGACCTGGATGGAGTTCCAGACTCCTAGCTTTGGCATGGTCCAGCTCCAGCCATTGCAGCTATTTGAAGGCTGAACTAGTACATGGAAGATTTCTCTCTCATTCTGACTTTCCTTCCATCCCTGTAACTCTACCCTCAAATAAATAAATAAATCTTTTTAAAAAATCCATAATTAGTGATATAAGATAAAGATAACATTGAATTTCACTGAAACAGAAAAGGCTGCCAAGTATATACAACTTGATTGCCACTTGAAATTTCTATCTTATACTTGGTGAAAGTATGCTTTGGTTTTTCATTTTTATAATTTTCTTCATTTGAAGGCAGAGAGCCCGTGAAAGACATGCACACACACAGAGGTCAAGGGATGTCTTAACCATTGATTCACACGCCAAGTATCCACAAAGTTCAGGGCTGAAATAGGCAGAGGGCAAGAATTAGGAGTTGAATCCAGGTATCCCACAGGGTAGCAGAGACCCAACTACTTAGATATACATTATCAGGAAGCTGTAATGAAAAACAGAGCCAGCACTCAAACCTAGGCACTAAGATATGGGTTAAGGGCATCCCTAATGTCAGCTAAACCACGGCATAAAATGTCTGCCTTAAAAGTACTCTTCTTGAACTATCTACACATTGCCATATTACAGAGAATTCAACAATTCACCTGTATTCTGCTATATTCTTTTTCACGTGTAAGCCTATTATCTGTCAGGATCCGGCTTCATTGATTTATGGATATATTGATTCTTAGTACTTCTTTATGATTATTTTGAAATAGATATATTGGGGCCTGTGTTGCAGTGTAGCAGATAAAGCCATGGCCTGTGGTGCAGGCATCCCATATGGGCGCCAGTTGAAATTCCAGCTGCTCTACTTCCAACCCAACTTCCTGCTAATGCACCTCAGAAAGCAGTGTAGGATGGTCCATGTGCTTGGGCTCCTGCACCCATGTGGGAGACCTGAAAGAAGCTCCTGGATCCTGGCTTTGGCCTGCCCAAGCCCTGGCCATTATAGCCATTTGGGAAATGAACCAGAGAATGAAAGATCTCTCTGTATCTCCTATATCTCTGTAATTCTAACTTTCAAATAAATAAAACATTTTTAAAAGAAGCATATATATATATATACACACACACATACACACACACAAACATACATTTGTGATCATTTAATCAGTGAAGTACTTTTACTTAAAGGTCTTCAAATTCAAAGCCACCAGTCTTATTTCAATATATTTCTATAAATGTGATAGCTTTTTACTTCAGTGATGTGTTAAAAATACAAGCAAAGATACAGTTATAAGAATGGCATAATTAAATTTTATATAGAATATATGATAAAAATTAAATAATTTTAACAACAGTTAATCCAATCCATATATGTGTCTCTGCACAATTCTTATAAAAGGCAAAAACATGAACAGCTATGATTAAGTAAGCACATGCAATGACAGCTACAGCAAAACCGTCCACAGGAAGACAATGATGGGGAAGCGTCACTGGTTAAAGGTGCACACTGATGTAACAGACACTATGTGAAAAGAAGAGTACATCTAAAAATGACTGGGATGTGATTTTTAAATCACTATATAGAACTTTCCAAACATGTATTCTTTCATTAATTTACATAATATCTTTGAAATGAGAAAAGAAAAGAAAATCTCTTGTGCAGGGCAGGGCAATTTGGTTTTGTTTAATGGTTTTATTTATTATTTCATGGATTTCACTAGACCTCACCCATGGAACCCTTACCATATGCCCAGGGTTGTTTAAAAATGAACATAGACAAGACTTCAAAACAAATCCCTGTGTAACTCTTTTACGACATATGTATACATATCTGCTCACTCATCATGCCCTCTCCTGAACACCTGCACCCAGCTACAGCTTGCTGTAAACAGCTAGCCCTCTGAGAGCACAGACATTTCTGTCTCAGATCTTTTATTGTTTTTTTTTTTTTTTTTAACAAGTGCAGGTTTTTTTTTTTTTTTTTTTTTTTTTTTTTTTTTGACAGGCAGAGTGGACAGTGAGAGAGAGAAACAGAGAGAAAGGTCTTCCTTTGCCGTTGGTTCACCCTCCAATGGCCGCCGCGGCCGGCGCGCTGCGGCCTGCGCACCGCGCTGATCCGATGGCAGGAGCCAGGAGCCAGGTGCTTTTCCTGGTCTCCCATGGGGTGCAGGGCCCAAGCACCTGGGCCATCCTCCACTGTACTCCCTGGCCACAGCAGAGAGCTGGCCTGGAAGAGGGGCAACCGGGACAGAATCCGGCGCCCCGACCGGGACTAGAACCCGGTGTGCCGGCGCCGCTAGGCGGAGGATTAGCCTAGTGAGCCACAGCGCCGGCCTTCAGATCTTTTATTGTTAAAAAGAGCTTCATACAGTATAGATTCTGAGTTAGGTTTTGCTGATTAAATATATTACATTGGTCAACACGGTGGCATAGCTGGTTAAACTTCCGTTTGCAATGTGGCATTACCATATCAGAACATTTGTTCAAATCCCAGCTGCTCCACTTCTGTCCAACTATCTGCTAAAGCAGTGGGTGGAGCCCAAGTAATTGGATCCCTACCTCCCACCTGGGAGACCCAGATGGAGTTCCAGGTTACTGGCTTTGACCTGACCCAGCCCCAGACTTTGTGTCCATAATGGGATGAACAAGTAAATGAAAGGTCCTTCTGTCATCCCCTCTCTCTATCACTCTGCCTTTAAATAAGTAAATAAATACAAGGAGTCTTTCCAAAAGGCACACTATTTTTTTCTGTATAAACTTCAGAGACAAAAGGAAGAATAGAAATAATAAATAGAATAATTACTGAAGATTGAAAATCTTTTTGATGAAAGGAAAAAATATTACCCATGATTTTTAAACATTAGTTATAAAATTCTCTCCAACAAAGATATTTGATGTCCCAGTAACCACATTCCTACCCTGAAGTCCCACCAGTTAGTAACATTCAGCTTTTTATCCTTACAATATTAGTTTAAGTGCTACAACGAAGCTGGAGTACAACAGAATAAACTATTCTCCATATACTCTCTAAAAGGATGAAGCCTGATACTACAATTCTTACATTGTTTTGACTTGTGAGAGGATTTATGTACCAGATTGATTTTCCCTATTACAAATCATTTGAATTTCTATTGTCAGTCTTAACTATTACTTCCCTAGATTTATGTATTGTGCACCCTTAGCAGATTCAGCATCCATAACCAATCCAATTCTACTTAGGAGAGGACACTTTTCTTCAAAGTCTTACTCAGTGCAACATGAACATCTTTGTTCCTCAAACTGTAGATGAAAGGATTCATCATTGGCCCCACAATGGTATAAAAAATAGTAGATATTTTATCTTGAGGCAGAGACCCAGCAGAAGAAGGCTTAAGGTACATAAAAGCTGCAGATCCGAAGAAAAGACAAACAGCAATTATGTGGGAGCTGCAGGTACTGAAGGCTTTGGATCTGCCATGGGCAGAATGGATGCGGAGGATGTTGGAGAGGATCCTGGTATAAGAAACAAAAAGAGTGAAACTGGGCACTGTTACATTGATGCCCACCACAATGAAAACCACCAGCTCATTGATGTAGGTCCTTGTGCAGGAGAGCTGAAAAAGTGGATAAATATCACACACAAAATGATTGATGATGTTGCTGTCACAGAAGGTGAGTCTCAGCATGCACATAGTGTGGGCCATGGCACCTGCAAACCCCATTGAATATGTCCACACTGTTAACATGAGGCAGACCTGAAGGGACATGTTGATCTTGTACAGCAGGGGCTTACAGATGGCCACATATCTATCATAGGCCATCAATGTCAAGATACAGCACTCATCAATAACGAAGAAAGAGAAGAAAAAGAGCTGTGCCATGCACTCAGCATAGGAGATGATGTTCTGTTTCACAAAACTCACCAGCATTCTGGGGGTTATGACACAGGAGTAGCAGAGATCAACAAAGGACAAGTTGAAGAGGAAGTAGTACATAGGGGTGTGCAGGTGAGGGTTCAGACCAATCAGAGCAATCAAGCCCAGGTTCCCCACCACAGTGACCACATAGATTGTCAGGAAGAGGAAGAAGAGAGGCAGCTGCAGTTCTGGCTGTTGTGTCAAGCCCTGCAGGATAAAGTGGGTCACTGTGGAATCATTTTCTGAGGTCATTCTTCTCTCAAATATATCTGTGAATGGAAGAAAAATAGAAACAGTAACAAATGAGAACCCAGATTTCTTCACCCAATCCCTCTCTCATTAGACTGAGACCAAGAACAGGAGAATAAGCTCAAGCCCACCCTGCTGTGCACTTTCATCTCCTCCATTTTACAAAACTGAGAGAATGTTAAAGCTGATGGTCAAGAAGACTTAGAACATTTCTGGAAGAAGGAGATTCAGGAGCTGTCTGACAGCTCTTGACTCTACAGCGTCTCCAGTCCATGACGCCCACCTCAGGGTCAATGGTGGTCTCAGATGAAAGGTGCTGAGGCATTTCAAGAACTCCTGGGCAGCTATAGATGAGGTGTAGAAGGAAACTAGCAGGGCAGATGCAATCAACACTCACCCTTCTGCATCAAGAATCAGAGGAAGATCTTGTAAACTCTTCCCCCCTGTTCTCACTGATGTGCAGGTGGCTTCGATGAATTTCAGGAGTGAACAGGCCAGAAAAGAAATTCTCTCTTGTTTCATGCAAATTTGGGACTGAGAATGCCAGAGCACATTCTTCAATCTCCCAGGCTGTAGAGAGCCTTGAGTCACAAATCATGGTTTCTCACAGTGCCTCTTCCCAGGGTGTCCTAGCCAACACAGGTGGGGTTAAATAGCATTTGCCAGTGCCAGTAGAGCCACTTGCCAATATGACTCAGAGAATATTATGGGTTAGGAAATCCAAGGGGCCTAATTACAAATTGGAATACCTATGTTTCTCCAGTGTTTCCCTAGAGGTCAGCCTTTTAGCAAAGCACAGTTTCCTAGACTGCCTTTACTGTCAAGTTCATTTTAATGGCACTGACTTTTTAGAACAATTCCAGTGTGCGTACATTTTGGTGTTCTACTAAATGAGTCATATCCCCAAAACGAAAGGCAGGATGACCACTCATGCAGCCACATCAAAATTCATATATGAAACACTATACATTTATTTGTTTTTCTTCTTACAACACATTAAGCCCCCACAATCATTTGACTTCAAGCTCTTAAAGAATCAGGTTACTATTCATTTTCTACAATGTCATTTCTGCAGCAACTTAGAGAAATACTTGGCACATATATCAGGTAGTTGATTTTAAAAAATGAATGATTGAATGATAATCTCTTCTCCATCTGTCTTGTTACCTATACTTGATCTTTCAATAAAATCTTGTCCATTCAAAAATTATTTATGTAGTTTTCATGTTATATTTGTAGACCTGAATGTGGCACAAGATAAAACATGAGTAGGGCACATATACTCAAAGAGGTCATCAAAGAGAACTTCAGAGAAAGGCTCACATTTCCCTCCTGCCTGAAAACATGGAGAACTTGCATAGGCTCTCCAGGAGGTCTCTCCCCAAAGGACTACAAGAGCATAAACTCAGATCAAAGGTAGGTTTGAATCAGTACAGAAAGCTCTCAAGAACAAACCTTAAAGATCTGCTCAATATAGAAGATCATCAGAAGCCACTCATTATTTTTATTTATTTATTGGCACAGAATTGAAAGGGTGAAAGTGCAAATGTAGGAAGCTTTGTATGGTGGCAACCTAAAGGAATGAGCTTCAGGAAGCAAATATACCTATAGTTCATCAGCCTATCAATGATTTTCAACAAAATTCTCTGAGTTACACTTTTACTGTGAATGTTTCTTAGAAACCAACATGTGGAAAAGGTGTTACAAAGGAAGAATCACCAGAACTTCTCATAATTGAGGATAAAAATAGAAAGAAACTTATAGATGTTAATCTATATATTTATGAAAAGTCTTCTATATGCTGATTCACTCCCCAAATGGCCTCAACAGCTGGTGCTGGGCCAGACTGAAGCCAGAATCAAGGAGCTTCTTCTGGGTCTCCCACATGGGTGTAGGGACCCAAGAACTTGAGCCATCTTCTACTGCTTTCCTAAGTGCACTAGCAGAGAGGTAGATCGGAAGTGGAGCTGCTAGCACTCAAACTGCCACCTATACCTGCTATGCCACAGCACTGGCCCCAGTTTCTTTTTATGTAACTCAAGCCCCATATGATCTAATTTAAGATTGATATTACACTACACAATGAAGATACATAAAAAAAAATGTGTTCTACATAAATGGATGTTTGATTTGCAGGATTATGTCAGACTAAGCTAACCTGTTAAAATACCCAGAAATCATGGCCAATTGGCCAATGTCTAAAATGATTTATGTAGTTTTCATGTAGTTTTTTTTTTTTTTTTTTTTTACAGGCAGAGTGGACAGTGAGAGAGAGAGAGACAGAGAGAAAGGTCCTCCTTCTGCCACTGGTTCACCCTCCAATGGCCGCCCCGGCCGGCATGCTGCGGCAGGCACACTGCGCTTATCTGAAGCCAGGAGCCAGGTGCTTCTCCTGGTCTCCCATGCGGGTGCAGGGCTCAAGCACTTGGGCCATCCTCCACTGCACTCCCAGGCCATAGCAGAGAGCTGGCCTGGAAGAGGGGCAACTGGGGCAGAATCCGGTGCCCCTACCGGGACTAGAACCCAGTGTGCCAGCGCCGCAAGTTAGAGGATTAGCCTATTGAGCCACGGCACCAGCCTTATATAGTTTCAATGTCTAAAATATAATAACCTAGATTCTATACTGTAAAGGAGAATTTTTCAAGTAAAATTAAATTGTCAGATGCTCACAGATAGTTATTGCTAATTAAATGAAAACCACAACTTATTATCACTGATTCAGTCAAATACAAAATATTTTCATCACCACAGAATCCTCCATGTTGCCCTTTTAAACCCAAGGTTTTATTCCTGCATCCAGTCCCCCATTACTTCCGGGCAACCACTAATGTTTCCTCTAATTGTGTAACTTTATTATTGAAAATGGTTATACACAACCACATCTTATGGCCAGTGAAATGCCGGGGTTCAAATCCCAACTCCACTTCAAATCTGGATTCTTATTAATGCACACCCTGGGAAACAGCTGCTTGTGATTCAAATAATTTGTTTTGTGGTTTCCACATGGAAAACTAGGCTTGAATTCTCAGGCTTCAGCCTGGCCTAGTCACAGTTGTGAGCATTTGAAGAAAGGATCAGAGGATGGGAGACCTTTTTCTGTGTCTCCTCTCTGTTTCTCTCTCTCTCCCCCTCTCCCCCCAACCCATCTCACTGATTTTCCAATGGATAAGCAAAAAAAGTGTAAGTATAAATATGTACAATGAAAAGTTATTGCACAGTAAATGTCAAGAAAATGAAAATAAAACCAGAGAATATGAGAAAATATTTCCAAGCAATATATTTGATAAAGACCTCTTGCCCCTAATAAACAGAAAACTCCTAAACTCAATGGAAAAAATTTTAAAACAATAATCTATTTCAAAAACATTTAAAGGAACTGAATAGACATTCCATAAAAAAGATGTAGATGGTATATAAGAAGGTACTCAATGCCCCTCTGCAATTGTGATTTATTATGAAGAGAGCGCATTTGTCCTTTGTCACAGTACTTGGCAAGGATACATGTCTCTCTATGCCAATGAGACTACAGGAAGCGTTAGGCTCCTGAATACCCAAAGGATGGGGACTTGTTGTCAAGGAAACCTACCATGTGATTGGGATTATCAGGCCTATCCACAGTCACAATCCTTGATCTCCAGGTAGGAAGGAGAGGCCAAAGATTGATGGATCACCAGTGGCCCACAACTTAATCAGGCATGTCTATTCAATGATGCCTCCAATAAAATCCAAAAGGATGGAGTTCAGAGAGCTTCTTGATTGGTGAAAAAGAATGCATGCATTTGCCATGTGGTATACCCCAATTCCACAGGCACTATACCTGCACTGGGGACTCTTTGGAACCTCCCTCTAAGCATTGTTTTCATGTGTTGTTCCAGAGTCGTATTCTTGTATAATAAAAATGTCACAGTAAAAAAAAAGGTCTGTTCAAAGTCTTGTGAGCAATTCTGCAAATGTTAAATATGAGCAGAGGATATGCAAAAGTGAATTGCAGCAAGTCAGTTAGCAGTACAGTTAACAGCTTGTACTTGCAACGGTGTCTGTGATTGGATCAGTCTTGTGGGACCGACCCTCAACCTGTGAGATCTGTCACTATCTAAAGGTAGACAGTTTCAGAATGGAGGCAAACTGTAGGATCCCCAGCTGATATTAGAAAATTGGTTGGTGGGGAAATATCTCACACAACACATGAAAATATTTTGTGCTGAGTGTAAGTGTAGGAGAAAACATCTAGCGAGAGTAGTGACATCTGAGGAAATCAAAACAAGAGGATAACCTTTAAATACAAAAGAACACAGAAACTGCTTTGGCCAATTCCCACTGGTCAAAGCAGCCCAGGTCAGGAATTGGCATTTGTTCTTTGTGGAGACAGCTCTTCTAGGCAACTCTTTGGTGACAGGAGCTTTTCTAAATACTGCTAACCAGAGAAATTTCTTGTGATAACCCTCACAAGCTATTAACTAGAGGAGTGAATTATGCAGTATTCCAGGAATGTACCCACAAAACTCTAATTTTTATATGAAAGTTTATTTTTGCATCTATTTAAAAGGCAGAACCCAGAGAAAGATAGAGATGATAAAGCTTGATTGATATAGATGAAGGTGATAGAAATAGAAATAGAGATGGAGATAGGAATATAAATAGAGATAAGGATATATATATATATAGAGAGAGAGAGAGAGGGAGAGGGAGAGAGATGAGAGAAAGAGAGACCTCCAATTATCTAGTTCACTGCCCAAATATGTGCAACAGTCATAGATTGGCCAGGCTGAATGCAGTAGCCAGAAACTCCATTGAATTTCCCACCAGGGTGGCAGGGACCCAAGTACCTGAGCCATTGCTTCCTGCCTCCCAGGTTGTGCCTTAAGGAAGCTGGTTCAGAAGAAGAGGAGCCAGGACTCCAGCCAAGCAACTCTGTTGTTGGATACCAGCATCCCAATAAGAACCATACTATGCCCAATGCTGGCCCCAGGTTTTGTGATTTCTTTCACTTTTATTTCTTTTCATTTCTTATT